TAGTAGTAATAATATTAGTCTTATAAAGAGAAAAATAATTGATTTGCATTTTAGTTACTTACGTATTTTGTTTATTGGATTTTTTTTGGAATTTGGATTTATATGATTTTATTTATATATATATTTTTAAATTGTTTTTTTATTATATTTCTGTATCTTACAATTTAATACGATTTACGAACAAAAAACCGATCAAACAATACACGAAACGTATTGCGATACAACAATCTTGAATCTGTATATTATCCAAGAATCAAAACTCAAAGGAATATTGTATGATATGTGGTGGCACTCAACAATTTAAATTTTTGAAAGAGTTAATTCATAATAAAAAATATTTGACAATCATTATTAATACATAAGAAGACCAACTATTTTTATGATACTATGCATCATAAAATAGTGGAAGGAGATTTCCTACACGTCATAAAAGCTCTTCAGTCCTCTGCTGCAGAAAATAGAACATCATATGTTTTTCTTGATATTCAATCCTGAGTTCGCAAAGAATGGGAGGTTCGTGGTCAACTAATCTCTAGAGAGGCCAACAAATGTGAACACTGGCTAGCTTATCAAGCGTCAAAAACAGGAACCACAATGCTCCAGCTTCCTAACCCTCCTCGGAATCTTCATAGGCTTGTGCTCAATGACATCTCTGTTATCCAGTACCGTGTTCCATTCTAATTTAGTTTTTTTTTTTGGGCTAATGCCCTTGCCTTCCATGCTATGATACACTGACATTGACACGGGACACGACACACCGACATATTAATCTAAAAGATGTCCAAAATATTGACCACGTGTTGGACGCGTATCAGAACCTGTCGGAGAGTGTCGATGTCCGATACACATCGTGCTTGTTAGCCTCCATGTATACAAAAAAATAAAATAAAATAATACCAACTATTTGATACTATTCATCATTGAATAAATTTTTTAAAAATATAATGCATCACTTTAAATTTTTAATTAAATGTGTGTTGGTTCGAGTGGAAAGAACTTGAGTATTTTTAAGTATGTGATCTCAACTTCAATTATGGAGTTTCATCTAGTAAAAAAAAAAAACTAGATGTGATCTATTTGTTATAAACTAGGAAAAAAAAATACCCATGCATGCATGCGTATTTGCACAAAAAGAAGGAATTTTTTTAATTCTTAAAAAAGCTACAAAGAAAGAAAAATTTGGAGAAAAACAAAATATTTATGAATTAAGTAGAGAGAGAATGTTTTAAATGAAAAAATATGGAATACAAATAAATAAATAATACAATTTTTATTGTTTCGAAGTTTTTTTTTTTTTATAAACTCGAAGTTATTTTAACAAACATTAATGATATCTTTGTTTTAAGTTTCAAAATAAATTATAAATGATTATGGTATTTTAATATTTTTCAATATTGTGAAAATAAAAAATTAACCCAAATAATTATCCTTATTAGTAAATGAAATATTGAGCTAAATTAAATAACATGCAATGAATTCACTAAAACTATAAAAAATAAACATGCAATGATTTTCATTTATCATTTTGAGCACTATAATATACATTAATATATACATATACATGCACAAATATATAATATATTTGGATTTTAATATAATAATACTTATGAAGATTATTTCATAATTAATTAAATTCTTTTTTAAGTTTATGCTTAGGTTTTATTTAAAAGTCCGTCTTCAAGTTGAATAAATGTATGTTTTTTCTTGCTTACGAAAACATTGTCTTGATTTCTCATAACTTTTTGTAATTGTTTTCCTCATTATTATATCAAAATTAAAACAACGGCTATAAAACGACATAACAATAACGTGGTTAATTTGAATTAAATTATATCAAGTTAAAGCTGTTAATCTATGTATAAAAAAACCTGTTAATTTGAATTAAATTTTTTTTGGTGGTTAATTTGAATTTAATTTAAACATAACAATAACGTGGTTATAAAAGATTGAAAGAAAAAAATTATAAATATATCCTACCTCCTATAATGATTAGCTGTTTCTTGGACTTAAAATAAAATTTTCAATAAATTGAAAGTGCAAGAACATCCATTCAGACAAGGTTTTTGAGATATATATTATATTAAGTAAGGGCATTAAACCTCTCATGTTATATGATAGGAGATACCTCATGCTACATGAGAATATTTTTTGTATACTGTATTTAATGCAATAATCTATTATAATTATATATTATGAGTAGTACATAGTTATAATTGTAAAATTATTATTTTTTCTTTGTCATGTAGTTGACAATATTTGAGGAGAGAAAAAAATAATTTTATTGTTATAAATATATATTATCCGTAATACATAATTATAATATGACTGTTGAATTAAATATTCGGTGCAATGATGATATATTAATATTTTTTCATGCTATAGACACATAATGGTAGGCCCATCATTAAAAAATAAAATAAAAATAAAATGGTGCACATTGCAGGAAGATTCTCTTTCTCCAAATGATACTTATATTTCCCATTAAGTAATTAGATGATAATTATGATATTTTCTTCATCTGAGATTTTATGTAGTTTCCACTTTAAAGCATATAAAAATGGGGGTTTATATTTATATTTTTTTCGTATAATCTCTTATAACTATTTTTTTATTAAGTTTAAATTAAATTAATAGTTACAAAATAATATCAAGTGAGAACATTGATTTTATTTTAATGTAATAATAATAAAATTGATGATAAATATAACCTACCTCCATAAAAATATTCTTTGTTCTGCATAAATAATTTTTTACAAGTCATAACAATTGATTCATCATTGAATATAATTGTTCATTAATTATCACACGCTATAAACTAAAAAAGACACCCATCGTTATTTATGATAATTGAATCGAAGACGTTACGGAGCAACATAAATGCCTCCTGGTATTTTTCAAATCAATCACGTACGGATTTTTATTTCGCGTCATTTTCTTTTGATTAACCAAATAGGTCTTCGAAAATATTTTATTAAAACCAATAATTGATGAATGTAATGACGTCTATACGTGGATAATCAAAGTTTATAAATGTACATGAAAGGGTATCCCAAAAAGAATAAACTAAAACTATATTATATAAAATTAATTTTATATTTCACTGTTTAATCCCACTCATGACAGGAATTATTAAAATATAATTTGTTGTTACTTTTTCTTATACAACAGCAATTAGAATGGTTGATGGTCTTAGAAAATTATATTTGTGTTAGTGGGTTATATATTATATTAATAATTATATTATGTTATTTAATATATATTAGGTAAATTAAAATGATCAAATAACGATACTCAAATAAATTTCTAAGTAAGTGTGGAATAAATATGTTGATATCAGTGTTGGATTAATAAGGTATAATAAAAATTTATTGACTCAACAATAAAGAAAAAATTATAAATAATAACTCTAGTTTCTCTTCCTTATCAAAAGAGATAACATATTAAAGAATAAAGATTAGAGCTATTTGACTGTATATTCCAAAGGAGAAGATTAAACTTATTTTTTTTTTGGTAACCAGATTAAACTTATTTTATTGCTAGGTAATTTTCACCTTTTTATTAATATTTTTTTATGATTTGATATAACGAATCTTGGTACGGAGTCATTTCCGGTATTTAGTGTAATGGTAGTACCAAGAGAAAAAAATGTTCTGATATATCTTAAACAATAAATGGAAGATAATAGTAAAAATGAAAAATTTATGTCACTTCACATTTGCAGGTGGAGAGTGTTTCCTGTTTCGTTTTTTATTGCAGTGAAAATGAGAGCCTAACGCAACTTCTTGGCCGCTTCTCCATGTAAAAAATAATGTAGATTTCTTCCGTATATTGTCTTTTGAACGCAACCCGAAGCCTTCTAGTCCAAATTACTCTCCTTTCCTTGCGTTTGTACTTTAACATGACACAACAAACTTTTCTACACACACAACATTTTGTGGGGCTCATACTTTTTGAAGAAAAAAGAAAACAAGAAAATTACAACACACAAAACGAATCTCTATAACATTACACAATCACTTTTCCTACGACATAACTCTTATAAAACCCATATGAGTAATATGACAATGTCATATTATTAAAAACATATATAAAAATAAAATTAATAAACTCTACCTAATTCATTTTTTTGAGTCTTTAAAAAAAAATTATTATGATGATTTAATAAATAATAAGTAATACAAGAAAATTCAAATCCCAAAACAATATCCACATGCACCCCCTAATTCATCTCCCCCATTTTTTAATTACTCTCTCTCTTGTTTGTATATATATACATATAAACACTTCCCCATTCTCCAACTTCTCAGCATAGCATCTAGCCCTCCCTACCCCTTGGAGACAATTCTTGTGAAATAAAACCAAACATCACCCATGTATATATAGTGGAAACATTTTCCATACACCTGAAAAGTTGTGAAGCATGGATGCTAAATGAAAAAATGACCGTTGATATTGCAGTTAAAATGATCAACGACTGTCATTAAGCACCTTTTACTTGGTCTTGCACAACAGGTAAGCCTTATTACTATATTTAATTAATTTCATGTTTTAGAGAACATGTTTATCATAGCTGCATTGCAAACAGCTTATGTCATAGCATAATTCTCCATGGCTCTAGCTTGGCATGTCATAGTGATAGTGGCACCTCACATTTTCATTAAATATGCTTTTGTTTATTACATACAATTTTAACCTTTTAATTAGTAGTAATCAATATTTTTTTTATCCAATATTGAAACGGTGATGACAAGAACATATTTTTATTTTTATTATTATTATTATTATTTTGGGCTGATTTTCTTTTCATTTAAAACCATAAAAAAATTTATTATACCGAGCATTAATAAAGGTTGGAACTGATCAAAAGATTAATAGCAATAAGTAGCTAGCTAGCAATGGAGATTCAAGAAAACCAACAAGAGTCGTGGTCGGAGACACTTCCGGCCAACCAACTTCAGAAGCCGCCGGCATCCTTGTTGGCTCGGCTGAGACAGGTTTCGGAGGAACTTAAGTGCATGAAGAATTTCAACAGGGAAGATAGAAGCAAATCTGGTGCTACTTGTGCCCTAAGAGATTCCAAATGCATGACCAAAAAGGTTGGAACTGATGAAAGTTGGTCCCTGGTTGAGAAGCGCTTTGATGAGTTGTCGGTTGATGGAAAATTGCCCAAAACTCGCTTTAGCCAGTGCATAGGTATGTATATGTATTCATCGTTACTTTGCATTTGCATTAGGAATGGTTTACACCCCGCTAGTTCTACTTTAGTGATTAAGAAAGTCTTATTGTGTTAGAGATATAATAATATAAAATCATTAAAGTCATATATATCAGTTAACAGTTTTAAGTTTTTGAGTTAAATTGATTCTTTTACTTATTGAAACTAATGTTGTTGATGAATTTTGGTTTGGAAATTAATGACAACCAGGAATGCATGAGTCCGAGGAGTTTGCCAGTGAGTTATTTGATGCATTAGCTCGTCGTCGAGGCATAACATCAATTTCCATAACCAAGGACGAGTTGCGTGAATTTTGGGAGCAAATTACATGTCAGAGCTTTGATTCGAGACTTCAAACTTTTTTGGACATGTAAGACTTCATTTCATCTTATTTTATTTATTTATTTTCTAAAGTTGTCCGTTTTCATCAGTCACTCTAATACCTTCACCCGACACTCAAAGTCATTGCTAAGTGTTTTATGTCCAATTTTGCATCATATTTTGGGTAGAGAATTTAATGAGGGTCTAGACCCGAAAGTACTATAGAAAGAACCAAATTTTAGTGAAAGGCAATATCAACCTTTGGAATTGATTTGATTACTATTTTGAGTCATAGATGATCAGTAAGCAACTAATATTTAGTCTAGCTAGGAATAAACTATAAGAGAGAATCATAAAATGGAATGATTCATGAACTCATTGATTTAAGATTTTGAATTAAGATGTTGTATGGAACATATTATTGTGGTAATTTTTTAACCCATGGATAGTAGTTTCTCTTAAATGGATCCCCTCTAATTGCACCAAAATCTAAAGGTAATGAGTTCATAAGATATTTCATTTATATGGTCCACGCTTATTTTATTCTTAACTAACGGAGGACATTATCCCTCACACTTGAATTAGCATGACCCCCTCAAGCACAAGCCTCTTTGATTATTAATGAGATGATCAACCAAGAGTCAACTCTTGCCTCCAAAACATGGGTTTAGTTATACCAAACAAAAATCAACACTTTGACTCCATAACATAAGCTTGACAAACATAACCAAATATCTAAACCACATCTCCAAATTAGGTTATATCCTATACAAGTTAGGGCCAAATATGACTTATAATAATAAAGGCTCGTGCGGACCAAAAGTCATATGGGCTAAGACTAGCTCACAGAACATCAAAAATTATAATTTCAATTTTTTTACCGGAATGTAATTCAAATTTATTTTAACAAATAAATATTTAACATTTTCGTAAAATATTCTATACAAAATATATAACTTTTAAAAATAAATATTTTTAATGAAATAATATTTGCACACAAAAATATAAATGAAAATGTAAGCAAAGTATTAATTATTTTTTCAATAATCCTTGAAAAATTGGTTCTATATTAAAATCATTAAAGTATTCACTTCTTGTTATAATTTAGAATAATGATAATCGCTTATTAAGTAATACTTATAGTGAATATTTTTATTATTTAATAAAATTTTCAGTATATAGGTGAACAAATTTAATAATTTGATATTTTCAATAAAAATTAGTTAAGAAAAACTTTGTATAACAGTCAACTTTTCTATAGTAACAAATCAAGTAATGCTAAAATTTTAAATAATTTTTCATAACTTAATTTTTTTACTATAATTTTATACCTTTAAATATTTTTAAAAGTATAAAAGGATGTTGATAACCATAAAAGTTATTCTGTGTTGCTGTTATATATTTTAAAAACTTAGTTATAATTTTATAATTAGTAAATATTTAATTGAAGACTTAATTATATTATTAAATAATTAGAAATTTAATATCATACTAATTTTTTTAAATTATATGAAAATATTTAAAATTTAATTAGATTATAAAATTTAAAAAATTAATTACCTATTTATAAAGCCTTAAAAACAAATGTCAAGAGTTTATTATTAGTTATTTTGTTTAAAAGAAATCAGGAATGAATTCTATCATGTTTAATTTTAACATGACCAGTTTATATGGATCTCTACACAAATCAACAATTAATTTGAATATTTCTTCTTTTTCGTTTTATAAATTTTGTCAATAAAATTGTCAACATCGATTTGTTATTGAATAGTTGAGATTCATCACATGACATGTGATCATGTTAAAATTAAATATGAGATAATTCATTTCTATAAAATTTATTTCTACCCATAATATTAATCATTAATTATTAGGCAAATAATATTTTTTTAACATTTTAGACCATTGATTCAAATTTGGAATATTCCGAGAATATAGATCCATATTTTGATATATTTTATATCTTTATTATTATTTAAATTTTGATAAAAGCGCATTTTTAAGTATTGGATTTATGTATATTTTATCTGGATAGTTAATTTTATTGCAAATTCACATAAGAATGAATAAAACATAATTATCAATAGAGAACGTAATTTTTCACTTAAAATAGTTCAAAATAATAATTAAAATAAATAGAAAATAATTATTATTGAATCGTTAAAACATATATTCTATAAAATTATATGTGTGAAATATATTTCATTATTAGATTATATTTATAATTTATTTATATTTTTAAATATTTATATATATATATATATATATTTATATATTCCTTATTTATTAAAATAATAAAAAATTTAATGAAGGAAAAAATTTGCAAACATCTATTTATAATTATAGAGTTAGAGGAGCTCATGATTAAGTAATAGTCCACCATAATAAGTCTTACGATTCTACTTTATTCCTCCTCTCTTAAATATGAAAATATATTCTACTATATGATATGCAATATGGTATGAAAACACAAAATTTTGAAAGCACTTTTAAAAAGTGAAAGACAAGCAATGCTATTCATAAGAAAAGTGTTCCACCCATTCATTGCATCCAATTAGTGATAACTATTATTTACCAGATTCAACCTGCCAACATATATAGCAGGTTTTGTTCTTGGTATGCTACCCTTCCCAGTTAATGAGGAAAGCTGGTTTTTTCATTTTATACAAAAAAGAGTTCAGTTAATAATGCATATCACTCAACTTGTCAAATTTGTCTAGAATTTGATTTTATATTGATTGATTATCTAATTTTCTTTTTATAATCATTAAAAATTTATACAGATTGTCATATCAGAACTCAGGAGAAGAGTATTTTAGTTTTGACTTTGATGACAAAGAAAAAAGGTCAATAATAGTTATCAATTATTAGTTGGGACCAAATGCTAAAAATAAATAACACATTAATTAATTTAATTCTTCTGCTAAATAACAGCTATGTGATAAAATAAGTTTCTGAAAAAATCAAAGAAAGTGCAATTATAACATCAGAAGGCATGAAGATAAACAATAAAAAATTGATCTTACAAACAAAATATAAGGTCTTAAGGCTAATTCCTCATTGAAATAGAGAATGCATTGCACCACGGTTACCGGAAGCAAAAAATTGACATTTCAACAAAAAAATTGGCAATTTTTTTTGTAATTTTGTTAGGTTCTTCTTAATAGGTATTTTTGTATTTTTAGCGTGATCATCCAACCAAATTTGACATTGCCTTTTCATAATAATAATATAAATTTTCGCCCCCCGTCATATAATTTTCTGGGTCCGCCACTATTTAGCACCAAATCTTAATCTCAAATCTTAAAGCAATGAGTTCATTGATCCTTCCATTTATATAATCTCCACTTAATCAATTCCTCATCAATGTAGTTAACAACAAATAAAAAAAAACAGATATATGCATGAATTAACGAATCAATTGCAGGTTTGCTAAAGGAAAATATACATGCATAGAATTAGCAGCTATATTTGAAGAACATTACATTTGCATATCTAAGTGAAAGAATAAGCCAAATGTCCAAAATATTGAATCTTGATCAGGTCTACATGCACTTTATGTTACTTATTCCCTAATTTAATAAACCTAACTCATGTCAGGGTGCACAAGAATGCCAATGGACGAGTAACCAAAGAAGAAGTAAAAGAGGTAAGAGTACATTTATCAAAAAAAAAAAGAAAAAAAAAGAGGTAAGAGTATATAATATCAAATAAAAAGGGGGAAAAGGCCTAATGGTTTCAAATCAAAATTCCAATTTCTAATATGTTAGTTTGGTTATTTTACAAGAGACATGTGGAGGTAAATATGAACTCTGAACATTAATGTTGTATATACATATATGATTCGTTTTGCAGATTATCTCCTTAAGCGCTTCAGTTAATAAGCTGTCAAAAATACAAGAACGTGCAGAGGAATATGCTACCGTTATCATGGAGGAGCTGGATCCGGGCAACCTTGGATACATTGAGGTTTCTAACTTAATTTATATTCTATATATAAACAAATTCGAAACAAATTATAAAATTGGATCACTTAGAAAATGGCACTCATAAGTAGTTTGATGGTGGTGTTTATATGTTTAATTTTCTTAATGTAGATACATTTTTTATACATTAGAAGTAGTTACCCAAATGACTTTTCAAAATAGATTTATTGACATAATATACAAGTTGTTTTTATAATTTTTTTTTTTATAAATTTAAGTAAAGTTTAGTGAAAAAATTACTGTGAATTATGAAATGATCCCTATGGTAAATGTGTGGCCTCATGCAGCTTTACAACTTGGAAATGCTTCTTGTGAAAGCAAAGGCACAATCAACCCAATTAACCACGGTGCTGGACCAGAAGCTAGTCCCTACCATAGAGCACAACCCCATCAAAGGAGGCTTCCGAGCGTTGGCATACTTAGTTGAGGACAATTGGAAACGTCTTTGGGTCATAGCCCTATGGCTTTCCATTTGCGCAGCACTTTTCACTTGGAAATTCTTCCAGCTCAAGCACCATTCCGCTGTGTTCCATGTCATGGGCTATTGTGTCGCAACAGCTAAGGGCAGTGCTGAGACCCTCAAGTTCAACATGGCCTTGAACTTGTTGCTTGTTTGTAGAAACACCATCACTTGGCTCAGGAGCTGGACCAACCTAGGAGTAGTGATCCCCATTGACGACAACATTAACTTTCACAAGGTACATATACAAAAATAAAAAATATAAATTATATATTTACACCGATATAATAATAATAATAATAATAATAATAATAATAATAATAAATTTTGCATCCATATTAGTGGTTGATGTATTTTGCATATAAAAGTTCTATTTTATTAGTAACATAAAATATGGGGTAATACTATTCTCCTAATACTAGAGAATAGTAATCCGAAAAAAAATTCATAAGACCCACCAATGGAATGTGTCTGCAGGAAGGGGACACTGTTCTCCAGTAACACGAGAATATTTATTCCTTAAAATATGACCTTTTATAGAGTAAGGATATTCTCACTATTAGAAAAATTTATTACCAATTCACTGCCTTCTAATCATCATTGGATCAACATTTTTTTTTTTCAAAATTTTTTAGCATTTTCTCTCTTTGATCCAATGATAATTGTAGAGGTAATGGGTTGGTAGTGGATATTTTTGGTAGTAAGAATATCTCTCTTTTTCCCGTGTATCCCTATACTAATAGTTTCACTGTTTGTTGTTGGATTAAATTGCGGTACTAACTTAAACATTTTGGGCCTTGTTCTATTTATCTAGGTGATAGCTTTTGGAATTGCTATTGGAGTTGGGTTGCATGCGATTTCACATACGGTATGTGACTTCCCAAGGTTATTACACTGCACGGACGCAGAATATGACCACCTGAAACCCTTTTTTGGGGATAAAAAGCCCAACAGTTATTGGCTGTTTGTGAAAGGGACCGAGGGTTGGACCGGGGTGCTCATGGTGGTGCTTATGGTTATACCCTTCATTTTGGCTCAACCTTGGTGTCGTCGGAATACGCTAAATCTCCCCAAAGCCCTCAAGAAGCTCACTGGTTTCAACGCATTTTGGTACTCCCATCACCTCTACGTCATAGTCTATGCCCTTTTAGTCATTCATGGATACTACTTATACCTCATCAAGGAATGGTACGAGAAAACGGTATGCCACCTCATCACTCAAAACATGCACGTTTCCTTTTCGTTTTGCTTAGAAATTTTCATCACCTTATTGATTTGCTGGCACAGACATGGATGTATCTCGCTGTTCCCATGATACTATACACATACGAAAGGCTACTTCGTGCTTTTAGGCCCAGTTACAAGTCTGTAACAATTTTGAAGGTACATTTTCAAGAATTTCCCTGACACATTTATTAAAATAGTACAATTTAAAAAAAAAAATTATCCAGAAATTATATTGACAAGCTTTTTTCTTATAAACTTACAAACTACATTAAGTCTGACTAGTCTGACTTCAATCAAGAGTGTATGACCAATTAGACTTAATGTAGTTTGTAAGAAAAAAAATTTGTTAATATAACCTTCTCCTTATCGATATGATATATTATACAAGTTTGTTTGTGGGGTCACATGTTAAACAGTGATTTAATTATGAAGAATCTAATTTTTATGTTGCTGCAAAAAAATTTTTTATGCCGACGATTATAATTATGTATTCCAGAGAGTATATAGTTATAATATTAAAGAAAATTTTTTTTCTCTCTATTCAGAAGTTATCGGCTGATATGAAAAAAAAAACAATAATTTTCATATCATAACTATGTATTCTTCGGAATACATAGTTATAATTGATAGCAGAAGATTTTTTTTTTTTTTTTTTTTTTTTGTTGCGGCAGAAGAAAAGAGGAACCCGTCAGTCTGCTAGATAATTTTCAAACTACATCATATTGTAATTTTATTAAAAAATTGTACTAGTTTGGTCATTCTCCCTGATTTCCCTAACTTCAAATGTATAACTAAATCAATTTATAACCAAAAATCCAGGTTGCGGAGTACCCAGGGAATATACTGGCATTGCATTTGTCTAAACCACAAGGATTTAAGTACACTAGTGGCCAGTGTATTTACGTTAACTGTTCTGATGTCTCCCCATTTGAATGGTATGCATCTAATTTAAGTTCAAAATTTCTGTTCTCGTTGCTTTTATTAGTATTCGTACGATGTGGGTGACCACAAGCAAAGTTAATTTAATGGTGTGGTATACTGGTATTATTGTAGGCATCCCTTTTCTTTTACATCTGCTCCGGGAGATGACTACTTAAGCATTCACATTCGGGCTTTGGGTGATTGGACATCACAGCTGAAGGCTGTTTTCTCCAAGGTGTGAATTTTGCACAAGAGAAACAATATATGTTCTTTTTTATTTGGAGAATCCGTAGATGTTATAAGCTGTACATTTCTCAAATGTTGTTCATGACATAAATGCTTGATTATTAATTACTCCTTCAACATGATTCATGCAGGCATGTCAACCAGCAAGTGATGACAAAAATATTGGTCTTCTAAAAGCTGATATGTTCCAATGTAACAATAAACCAAGGTACGCTAAACTCTCTTTAATTTCATTTTATCCAATAAACTCTCGGGCGGAAGATGTGTTAGTAAATATAATATAAAATTATTGATATGGCTTTACCTAATGATTTAAACTTTTGGGTTGGAATAATTCTTAACGGGTATTCTTACTTTTCTTAATTTAATTTCTAATCAATTAGGATTTTATTTAGAAAATGACTTCTTTGTGAACCTAATGAAATTAAAATGAATTGTAGGATGCCAAGGCTCTTGATTGATGGACCTTATGGAGCTCCGGCACAAGACTACAAAAACTACGAAGTCCTCCTTCTCGTGGGGCTAGGAATTGGCGCCACCCCTTTGATTAGCATACTAAGAGACATGCTAAACAACATTAAGCAACAACGAGACATAGAAGAAGGTGTAACAGATAGCAGAGTGATGAAAAACAAGAAGACAAAAACTTTTGCTCCCAAGCGAGCCTATTTTCATTGGGTTACTCGTGAGCAAGGTTCTTTTGAGTGCTTCAAAGGGGTGATGAATGAGATAGCAGAGAATGACAAGGAAAGAGTGTTTGAGCTTCATAACTATTGCACAAGTAGTGCGCATAAAGAAGGAGTTGCTCGTTCTGCTTTGATCACAATGCTTCAGTCACTTCACTATGCCAAACATCACGTGGATATAGTTTCAGGGACAAGTGTCAGAACATACTTTGCTAGACCCAATTGGCGTGAAATATTTATACACACTTCCCTCAAACACCCCGAGAAAAGAGTTGGTAAGTATTGATTTTGTTCTTTATTTGATTGCTGAATTTTACACTTTAGAGATATATTGCTTAGCTAACACTTTCAATGTACTTTTTCTATTTCAGGTGTTTTTTACTGTGGGACGCAAGGATTGACTAGGGAACTAAGAAGGCTTTCTCTGGACTTTTCCAGGAAAACCAGCACCAAGTTTGATTTTCACAAAGAAAACTTTTAGATTTATTCTCATATATATAGTTCCTTTGTTTTTCTTCATGTTTAACACATAGTTATATATTGTTGCTTCATTTTTTGTTGTAAAGGAATGTAGCTAGCTATCTGCATTTGATACATGGAACTGTATACACATAACAAAAATTTGTAGTCACTTTAATGTAATATAAAGTCGTGATGTTGTTTGCTTTCATATATGTAAGCAAATCACATTATTATTATTTTGAACTATATCCTACTTACTCTGAGCCGAGTAGACTTCCCACAGTATTTCCACAAACTTTAACTTTTAGAACCGGCTATAGGACTAATCCGAAATACGGGACGGACCAGGGATAAAGAATTTAAATCCCTTCCAAAAGTAGTATGTGGAGATCAAACCGAAGCCCATTCTTTTCCATTGCTCAGCTCTCATGCATCAACTAATCTGCCACCATTTAATACGAATCAAATTATTATTGCAATATATAACAAGCTTCTTAATTTATTTAAGTCAACACTAAATATATTTAAAAAATAAAGGACATTTCTACAAAATGGGAAATTACCTAGAACTGGGGCGATTATGTATAGTATATCCCAAATATATACTTGGAGGGTTAATGTCATTAGGAATAATGAAAAACTGGTACACATTTTTTTAATACTAACAAATTCTTTTTCTCAGAGTCTTTATATTTAAAAATAATATTATCTTATCTTTGTTGCCTTCGTATTTAATTCTTAAAATATAATATTATTTTTTAAAAACAAATTCAATTGCACTTACATGAATTGTTTTCTCCGCATCATTATTTACTATTGTTTTAATTACATTTTGTTATCTCTTAAACTTAATGTCAAATATTTTTATGTAGAAGTTGTATCTTAAATAAATAAAACTTATATTTCATATTAAATATAATTAATATAAAAATAAAAAATAGGATGAAAATATTGATAATGAAATAATAAAATTTAAGAAATTTATCTACAAAATTAATTATATTTAATAAGTAAGAAAAATACCATTGACCTGTTTGACTTTAATTTGAATTTGGGTTCTTAAATATCTTAATTCTCTTTTGGCACACGATATTTATAAGATATATAATCACCAACAAATTATATATTACACATAAAATTATTTACAATGCTTCACTTAAAATTTAAACTTTTAAGATCCTAAGTTAATGATAGAAGTACACACCTTGCACTTAAATTAATATTTTATTACATTATCGTATTCATCTTTCTTTAAATTTATATGCATGTAATTACATTAAAATTTTCTACATGAATCTACATACAATTCAATAGTTTTTATTTTATTTTATTTAAAAAAAAACCTTTTATTATCCCTTTAGCACTTCTCATAATCCATTTTTCATCAAAGCATTGTTTTAAGGAAAAAGGCTTATTTCATCCTCCAAAAGCTGCTGTAGGGAACACCAGAAACAAATTATTATAAAGATTAACATTCAAGCATAAGCATCTTAAATTGCCTAAATGAAAGCATCAACAAAGTTTGGAATAAAGGAAAAGGAAAAACAACAATAATGAGTCAACAAATTGTTGAGAAATATAAAACACAAAAATAGTGAATTATTTCCACTATTTTGTGGTCAAATATGGTGTGCATGAATAGTTATTTGTGTTCATAGCGTGTCCCTTGATCCTTTGGTGGGCGATCCCCTTTTATCATTCATGTTGCTTAATGTTTACATAAACATCCAACCAACCATGTTAATGTCTGTAATAATGCCTAGTCCCCTATCCTTTTCTCCTCATAAAGCCAGCACAATCGCATAACCCTTTAGCTATTCTTTTTGCTTTTTCTTTTTTCATGGAACACAATAACAAAATAGAAATGATCTTTAACTTTAAGAATTTCCTCTTATTGTTATTTTATTAATATTTATACTCATAGAACGTAATTAAAATAAAGTCTTAAAAACTTAAACCAATGCTAATTAAGTTAGGTCGTTAACTTGACATTATAAGGAAAAATTTAATACTGTAGTTATCAATAATCATATACCTTAAATCCAAAAAATGACAATAAAGACACCAAGAGTGCAAAAACTCAAGGATGTAGACCTTGATTGGTTCAGTGAGCTAATAAGAATCAAAGCATTGAAAATTAGACCTGAGCAAGCACTTGTAGGTGTCAAGAGTGCAAAAACTCATGTAAAGATATAATTTTTTTATTTGTTCACTGAGCTGTTAAGGATCAGAACGCATTAAAAATTTAGACTTAGATTTATGCTGCTAGCTCGTATATGCAATATATAAATTTGTTACTATAAATTGTAGTAGCGACTTGTGACATGCACTCCATTTATAATGAAATAACCTTCCTTACCCGTTCCATCTAAACTTAAGAACATGAATAAAATAAGTTTGTAAATATTAATCACTATGTTGATGATGGACTACCCCACACACATTATCACAAGGGTCACCATGGTGTTAAGTTATAAATATAAATGCACCTAACTAACTTCACCCCCACATCCAAATAAAAATAAAATAATAATTGAAATAAATCTATTCACATTATGTAAGAGTGGGTAGCCAACCCATTATCTAATTTTAACTACTAAAATTAACATATATATATATATATATATATATATATATATATATATATATATATTTATTTATATTATTTTCATAATTTTAATTTAAATAAAATATCTAATTTAAATTCACAAAGCATAAAGATGAATCAAATGGCACAAGTGATAAGGAATTTGTGTCCCTTGATCAGAGATTTCAAGTCCTGGAAATAAAAAAAAATGGTCTTAGAAGAGCCGACCCTACCCTCCAACAATACTCAAACTGGACGAGTCCGAAGAAGGAATTAATTGAGCAAGTGGGGTAGAGCACGTGTTCAATTCTCTCCAGTATCATATTTGAGAGGGGTTTAAAATCTTAATTCCAACACCTCACCCTGAATGAATCAGACTAAGCGATAAATCAATTAAAATATCTCAAAAAAGATATATAAAAAAATCCGAAAAAATGAGGCAACTTAAAAAGAAATTTTATTTTTTTTTTGATAAAAGGGACTTCAAGAAAGAAAAGCTACACCAACATGAGTGAATGAATGAGAATCATGTGAAGCTACACACAAATACAGACTCACTCACTCTCTCAACCTGTCAAATTCAACAAAACACACCCTTTTTGAGAGTTTCTTCTTCTTGTTGTTGTTTTTGTGGTGGTAGTGTTGGGAGCAATGGCTGCAACTGCTTCAAGGTTCATCAAGTGTGTAACCGTTGGGGACGGAGCTGTAGGGAAAACCTGCATGCTCATTTGCTATACAAGCAACAAATTCCCCACTGTATGAATTTGTTTTGCTGCATTCATATATCTCTCTCATTCTTTGGCTTTTTGTTGTCATTTGTATAATATTTAATAGCTACGGTTCAGTTTTAGTCCTAAGATCATAGTAAATTTCATGAAATCAATGTCTCTTTTGGTTGGGGAAGGATGGAACGCTGTAATTCCGGTTGGAAAAACCAAACTTTGTCATCTGGGTTGTTCCTCCTTTCCTTGCTTCTGTTGAATCTTTCTCTGTCTTGTGTTTTGGACTCTGATTTTTGCTTTTCCCATATGCTGGGTATCTTATCAGGACTATATTCCAACGGTGTTTGATAATTTCAGTGCAAATGTGGTCGTTGAAGGCTTCACTGTCAATTTAGGCCTCTGGGACACAGCTGGTATGCTTACATAGACTTGTTAATTGTTGTGGTGTGTGTGATCATATTAATTGAGGGGTAAAATGTCTGCAATTTAATTTCTTATGAGCCTTAAGGAATTTTGTGATATCCATTGTTATGTTCCATTTGCTTCCAATGTCTTCCTTAGGTCAAGAGGATTACAACAGGCTCAGGCCTTTGAGCTACAGAGGAGCAGATGTCTTTGTCTTGGCTTTCTCTTTAGTTAGTGGTGCAAGCTACGAGAATGTGTTGAAGAAGGTATGTTTGTTGTCTCTGTATTAGTATTTTGACATGTCTTGCAGGTTTCTCTTTTATTTTCTAATTGTGTACACTGTTCAGTGGATCCCTGAACTCCAGCATTTTGCTCCTGGCGTTCCAGTGGTACTAGTTGGGACCAAATTGGGTGAGTAGTCAAGCACTGGCCTTAATATTTGTCTCATCCCTGTGCAATTTTATCTTCTGTTTATAGCTTTTTTTGCCAAAATTCTTCATAAAGCATGACCCAAATGCAGTACAAATGAGACCTGTTCAAGTAGAACCCGTCTATATAAATTTGATGCTAGAACCATAGCTATATGCCTATGTAGATAGATTAGATTCTTTTTTCTTTTTTTTTTTTGGAAAATAATAGATTAGATTCTTTAGACTGTCATTTTGTTATGCTGAAACATATGTGCCCCTTTCGCATAGAATTACAAGATATCTTGAACTACATAATTCAGTAAAAATCTGCACAAAGTGAAACTGTTTATAAATTTTAATCTTTACAAACTCAATTATCACAAAACTTGTCCATGCAGGTTTTTGGTATAGTCAACATGAATTTTGTTTTACATATCATGTGTTTGTGATCCATTAATGAAAATATATCCATCTATAAATGCCAATTGCTTGACAGGATGACCTTCTAATGCAAAGATGTCTCATACCATTGATGCTGTATAGTATGTACTTTTATTACAGTAAGGAACTAGTTTGACGCTGTAATGTCTTTAAAGGTTAACTCATAGCATAGCTTGAATACTCTTATTTCTTTTTAGTTTAATCCCTTTCAAGATCATCTCATATGAAAATTGTATATTGCTCATAAAAGTGATGTCTCAAGCTTTATAACCAAAAACAGAAAAGTAAATCAAGACCATGAGGAGAGGCCTAATAGCAATATTACAAGAAGGTTTAATAGTGACTCAATATTAGTCGGGCTTCTTAATGCTGAATTTTGACCATGGAATATAGCATTGCCATACATTATATTAAGACTTCAGAGAAAGTTTAGAGAGAGAGAGAGTGACTATAGCAATAAAGGGCAACATAATTACAATCAATTATGTGTTAAATATGGTTATCTCCTCAATTTGTTATTGACTAATTGATAATTTCAGACAACTTCATATTGTGGTTATGAACAAATTTCACAGTCTACATTTCCTCATGGAAGACTTTTGGCCACTCATGTCCCTTCAACAGTGTTGGTACCTGATTCTGATACTTGGATAATTGCAAAGAAATAACAAGAAGAAGATGAATAACAACTTTTATTATAATCAGACTGAGGCATACACCATCGTGTCAACCCTCAGATTCATGACAGCAAATTAACAATGCAGTAAAGATTAAGGCCACTTCCTAACAATGGACTGGCCGATTATAAAAGAAGATTACACTCCCACCTATCCCTTACAGCAACCGAGGCATATACCTTCTCAGTGCTCTAACCCACATAATGACAATAATCTTTTATGCCTTCTCTCCTTTCCCGTAACCAACTTATACTGCCCTCACCTCTTTTCCCATTTCTCCAATATCTTCCTCTCCATTCATCGCTTGCCATGTGTCCCCATCAGTAACTAACTGTGATGTGTCCATACCCTTCCTCCTATGGGCCTTTCGACTGTACACTTGGACATATGGCTTGAGAGGCCCATCAATACCCCCTTCTTCAAAATCCACCTTGTCCTCAAGGTGAAAATAAGGAAATGCAGCTTGAAACTCCTCTAATGGCTCCCATGTAGCATCACAATCATCCAACTCTGCCCATTGTACCAATATTTCACTCGTACCATCCAGGAGACGACGAGCTTTCAAAACAGCAGCCGGTTGTAACTGTAACTCTAAGTCAGCAGACAAGCACCTAGGCAGGGGTAGTACCACCAAAGAAGGATGAATAGCTCTCTTTAATTGAGAGACATGGAAGACAGGATGGACCTTTGAATATGAAGGGAGCTCCAACCTGTAAGCCACGGGTCCAATCTTTGCTAAAATTGTAAATGGTCCATAAAATCTTGGGCTTAATTTCTGATTAATTCTCCTAGCTAAAGACCTCAACTTATAAGGATGGATCTTTACAAAAACCGTATCACCAACCACATAATTCTCCTCCCTTCTCCCTTTGTCAGCCTGCAGCTTCATTCGCTGTTGTGCTTGACACAAATTCTGTTTTAGTTCCACCAAAATAGCATCCCTAGCCAACAACCATGTATCCACAGCTGCCACGGTTGTGCTGCCAGGTGTAAAAGAAATAAGAGATGGCGGGTCACGACCATACACCGCTCGAAATGGGGTCATTTGAATAGACCTGTTATATGTTGTATTGAACCAAAATTCAGCCCAAGACAACCACTTAGCCCACCCCTTGGGATGTCCACTAGCAAAGCAACGCAAATAAGTCTCCAAGGTACGATTGACAACCTCGGTTTGGCCATCCGTTTGGGGATGATAGGCTGAACTAAACTTTAATTTAGTGCCCGTTAGTTTAAAGAGTTCACCCCAAAACTTACTCATGAAAATTCTGTCACGATCCGACACAATGGACTTGGGAATTCCATGCAGCCGAATCACTTCCCTCAAGAACACAGCAGCCACGGTCTGAGCATCATATGGGTGTTTAAGAGTCATGAAGTGGGCATACTTGGAAAGCCTATCCACCACCACCAATATGGTATCCGTCCCCTTGGAAACTGGCAAGCCACCAATAAAGTCAATGGACAACTCCTCCCACACTTGTTGAGGAATAGGCAACGGTTGTAACAACCCAGCAGGCTTCAAATGATCATATTTTTGCTGTTGACAAATAGCACAAGCTCGCACAAAAGCGGCCACATCCTGACGCATTCCCTTCCAAAAAAAAACACCAGCCACGCGCTTTAATGTCCTCAATTCCCCCGAATGGCCACCCCAAGGAGAGGAGTGAAACTCCTGGAGAATGGCAGCAAGATGAGGAGAGGATCGAGGGAGAACTAACCTGTTTTTATACCATAAACTTCCTTTGAGTACTTGATAACCCGGATGAGAAGTAGCATTTTGTACGACATCAGTGAAATTTTTTTTTGTCACTGGATCATGAAGGACCTCTTCAGACAGTCCTTGCAAGTCAGGGCTGGTGACCATGGTGAGCTCCTTGCAATCCATAACACGAGAAAGCGCGTCCGCTGCTGTATTTTCCTTTCCGGGTTTGTAACGTATTTCAAAATCATATCCCATCAATTTAGCCACCCACTTTTGCTGTCCTTCGACCATTAATCGTTGCTCCGTCAAATATTTGAGACTCCTATGATCGGTTGTAATGACAAAATGACGCCCCAACAAATAGTGACGCCACTTGTAGACGGCAAACACGATAGCTTTTAACTCCCGTTCGTAGACCGAGAGTACTTTATCTTTGTCAGAAAAAGCCTTACTGAGAAATGCTATAGGGCGGCCTACCTGCATTAATACAGCCCCCATCCCCACTCCTGATGCATCTGTCTCCACAAAGAAGGTCTCATCAAAGTTAGGCAGTGCTAATGTTGGGAACAACAACATCTCCGCTTTGAGAGCTTCAAAGGACAATTGAGCCTCCTCACTCCATACGAAGCTGTCCTTTTTGAGCAGCTGAGTCAATGGGTGTGCAACCTGACCATATTGTCTCACAAACCTCCGGTAATATCCCGTTAATCCCAAAAACCCACGAAGACCTTTCACATTTGTGGGAGTAGGCCATTGTGACATAGCCTCCAACTTATGGTGGTCGGCCTTGACACCCTCCTTGGAAATAAGATGACCCAAGTATTCGAGTTCGTTTTCCACAAAGGTGCATTTTTTTTTGTTGGCAGCGAAATGATTTTGTCTCAAGACATCCAACACTATCTTCAAATGGTCACAATGTTGGTCTAAAGAGTTGCTGTACACCAGGATGTCATCAAAAAAAACCAAGACGAATTTTCGCAGATAAGGCTTGAAGACCGTATTCATCAGTGATTGAAATGTAGAAGGGGCATTCCTTAAGCCAAAGGGCATTACAAGATATTCATAATGGCCCTCATGCGTACGAAATGCGGTCTTCTCAATGTCTTCTACCCTCATTCGAATCTGATTATAGCCTGATTTCAAATCTAACTTGGAGAAAATCTCAGCCCCATGCAACTCATCAAGCAATTCATCAATAACAGGTAAAGGAAACTTATCAGGAATAGTTACCTTGTTCAAGGCCCTGTAGTCCACACAGAAACGCCAGCTCCCATCTTTTTTTTTCACTAAGATTAAGGGACTTGAATACGGGCTGCAACTGGGTCTGATCATGCCCACTACTAACATCTCTCTGACAAACTTTTCAATTTCTTCCTTCTGATAGTAGGGGTAACGATATGGCCTAATATTAGGGGTGTCTGCCCCCTGTTTCAGTAGAATTTTGTGATCACATGCTCTAGAAGGTGGTAGTTCTGAGGGGGGTTGGAAAACATCATCATATTGCAGTAGAAGCTCTGCAACCCGAGGATCCTCATCGGGAGTACCAGTTAACTCCATTGCTGAATACCCCAGTTCAATATAATACCCCTCTGTGCTCTTCTTCCATGCGCGATTCATGCTCTTGTAAGAGACCTGACAATAAGATAACTCAGGATCGCCTTGCAAGGTCACCATGCTCCCTTTCCATGGAATCCGTAAGGATAATTTCCCAAAATTAGCTTGAATGTCTCCCAGGCCTTCCAACCACGAAAATCCCAGCACCACATCCACCCCCTTAAGACAGAATATGTAGAAGTCTTGAATGATTGACACATTAGGCAAGACTAGAGTGACTCCCTGACAAACTCCCATACCTTGGACTCGGTGGCCATCTCCCACCTCCACCCGAAAAGACCTTGATTGCAAGGATGGGATCCCCACTGTATCTACCACATGCTCCCCAATGAAGTTGTGAGATGCCCCGGTATCCACGAGCACCATCACCTTATGGCCCTGAATCTCCCCCCATAACTTCAGTGAACGGTTGGAGGTGATACCCACCACACTTTGAATGCTGAGTTGAAGGGTCTCCAGTTGGTCCTCGCCCCCTGTCTCCTGAATCGGATCTTCATCTCCGTCGGCACCCCCATCGTCGCTCACAAGCATCACGCGCAACTGTGGGTTAGGGCACACGTGCCCAGGACCAAAGGGTCCTCCACAACGGAAACATAGGTTGCGACGCCTATGATCAGCCTCCTCTTCCGGCGAAAGTCGACGAAAATTGTTTCTCCGGCGGCCGTCTGACGCGTTGGCTGTCGCTCCTGGTGGTTGAGTACCACCTGGTTCACTCGTAGCCCCCCCAACGCGATTAGGATTCGCGAGGGTGTGGCTGGCTGCTGACGACACCTGGGTATTAAGTGTGTTGGATGTAGGGCTTTGGGCCGACGTTACAGGCCCATTTTGTTGCCATCTACTCCCACCTCCCTTATTTCCCAACGCGGGCCTACTTCCCCCCATATGACTATTATGAAGCCCAGTCCCTGTACGGCCTACTCCACCATCTCCCCTTCCTAACACAGCTTCGCGTTCTTCAACCCGTTGAGCCAAGATCATCATCTCCTCAATATCTCCAGGTGAGTGCAAGCGAATTTCGGCTCGAATTTCCGGTCTCAACCCAGTCAGGAATGCTGCTTGCATTAATTCCTCATCCGCTTGTCCTAACGGAGCGGACAACACTTCGAACTGTTTTCTGAACTCAGCCACCGTCCCCAATTGCTTCAGTTCCATCAACGCTTCGTATGGATTTCCAGAAGGAGATGCATGAAAACGTTGTAACACTGCCGTTCTGAAGATCAACCACTCCGCCAATGGGTTTCGCGGTTCCCACCACTGGAACCAACTCAAAGCTTCTCCCTCCAAGCAAATCGATGCCGTCTCCAACTGTTCCTCTGGTGGAATTCGATTGACCCTGAAGTACCGTTCAGCTCTAAAGATCCAACCGTAGGGATCCTCCCCTGAGAAGTAAGGGACCTCCACCCTTTTCATTCTTTCTTCGTTCCTCACTATTCTCGCGTTGTTGTCGTTGTTTCCTCCTTGGCTTCCACTGCCATCACTGTTAGATCCTCCGGGTCTCCCAGCTCGAGCTATGTCCTGAAGGGTTCTCATAACTTCAGCCAGATTTGTTTCAATCCGACGAACACCTTCTTCCGTTCCTCCTACCCTAGCTTCCAACGTCTCCATTCGGTGGTCCATATTTCTTGTCAACACCATTCACTATTTGTTTCCCAGAAAAGAGCTCTGATACCAAATGTTGGTACCTGATTCTGATACTTGGATAATTGCAAAGAAATAACAAGAAGAAGATGAATAACAACTTTTATTATAATCAGACTGAGGCATACACCATTGTGTCAACCCTCAGATTCATGACAGCAAATTAACAATGCAGTAAAGATTAAGGCCACTTCCTAACAATGGACTGGCCGATTATAAAAGAAGATTACACTCCCACCTATCCCTTACAGCAACCGAGGCATATACCTTCTCAGTGCTCTAACCCACATAATGACAATAATCTTTTATGCCTTCTCTCCTTTCCCGTAACCAACTTATACTGCCCTCACCTCTTTTCCCATTTCTCCAATATCTTCCTCTCCATTCATCGCTTGCCATGTGTCCCCATCAGTAACTAACTGTGATGTGTCCATACCCTTCCTCCTATGGGCCTTTCGACTGTACACTTGGACATATGGCTTGAGAGGCCCATCAAACAGTTTTACAATTTTAGACTTAAGTCTGTCCTGAAATGAACCTTATCAAGTTCGGTGGCCTTGGATCCTTGCTGCAATCACAAATTTGTAGACGTAAAAGTAATGCTAAAATAGTAAATCCACCAATTGTATAGATTTCTTTTGACACCCGTCTTTCATGTATTGTAATAATTAGTTCAATGTGCCCTGTTACTGACTTCTGCATGTAATACTGTATTTATGATATTCGTGTAGATCTCCGAGAAGATAAACACTATTTGGCTGATCATCCTGGTCTGGTGCCTGTGACTTCTGAGCAAGTACAATACTTACTTTATTAGTTGTGTACAGATTTCAATAGGCAGTGTTTATTAAAGCTGTTGCATTTTGTTCATAACCAGGGTGAGGAATTGCGTAAACTGATTGGAGCTACCTATTATATTGAGTGCAGCTCAAAAACTCAGCAGGTATGACTATACTGCCGTTGTATTCTTACAACACTTGAATGTCTCAAACAATATAAAGACAAATGTCTCACATTCTCTTCTAATGAAAACTAAATTCTCCACTTCAGAAGCGTTTTACCAGATTGTTCACCAGTGCATTACTAAATAAAACATGCTTCAGATATAGTACTTATTGCACTGAGAAATGCTAGGCTAAGGGAACATTTTATTTTGAAAATATGCTCGGGAGAAAAATATGGATCAAATCGAAGATAGTCCAATTAAAAGGGGTAGTGGAAGACCTAAGATAACTTAAGGATGAATAATAATAATAATAGAAGATCTTGTTTAATGGTTTTACCGAAAATTTGATTCTTGATATAGTCCAACTGCGCCAATGGATCCATGTAGCTGACTAAACCTACTGAGAACAGGCCTGGTTGTTGGTATAAAAATGGTTGGGTGTGGAAGTTGAGCAAAAAGTTAAATCAGTTATGCACAGGGACCATACTATTATTGTCTTGACAGGGTTCCTCACTTGCTCTGGCAAGTTAAGTTCTCATGAGAGAATATACAAAAGATTATGATTCACCCTAATGATTATTGGCTTATTGCTTTGGATTTGAAATATCTTTTATAAACCCAAGCTTATGGTACAGTATCCACATGATATTTGGTGGTAAATGATGTATGATGTCTCGGTTTTGCTTCAGATGATAGTGTTTATAATTTTTACAGATAAATACTTCCCAGTTTTTTCTAAAAAAAACTCTGCTTAAAATGATCCTATTCTCAATGCAATTGCAGAATGTCAAGACAGTTTTTGATGCTGCGATCAAGGTGGTCATCAAGCCCCCACAAAAGCAACAAGAGAAGAAGAAAAAACCTCGTCGAGGGTGTCTACTGTTAGTACACTTTTATTTTTATACAATATCTCACAGCTTTGTTTTGGTGAGCTTTTTGTTGCAGATTTATTATTGATTGTATGTTGTTTAATTTAATCCTTCTCAATGAAATTGCAGAAATGTCATCTGTGGAAGGAATATTGTACGTCTTAAATGAAATATGCCATCTGTATTTTCATCCAAAGGCAAACTTGCGAATGTGAAAACTCCGTTATCATTCGGTAGAAATTATTGAATTGGCTAGAGGTCGTTTGGCTTTTTTTTTTTTTTTTTTTTAATTTCTTGATAGGCTTATGTCTTGAAGAAATACTATACTTTTGGACCAGATTTCTTGTAAGAAAAGGACAGTAAAAAGCTAAATATGCTTGGCTAGCTATTATTTTATTTCTGTTGATAAGACATACATAATACACGATTTGAAGTCATCTTCAAGAAATAGATGAATCACGAGTGAAGAAATTTTTACATTTGTTTATATCATCCATGTATATGATTAAAAAAACGATTTTTTTTTAGTGATCAATATATTTTTATGCATTTAGATAAGTTTGATAATGGTTGTTTATTTCGGCCAAGCAGCAATTGGAGGTGGCTGGAGGAACTGACATACATGCCCAATTGCTCATGCAGAATTATAGTTGCTAGAGAGAGACATGAAATTTACAATAGCATTTTGTAACAAGTAGTTAAGTATTTTAATATATTTACTTTACCAAAAAAAGAAAGTATTTAATGTATTTTATTAAATATGTTTAATTACTTAACAATGGTTTTAAATATTTTTAGTCTTGACAATGTAATAATTATTTTACTTTTACTTCTATCACCAGTATCTCATGAGTATTCATTAGCAAATTATTTTTTAATATTATATCAAATGAATTTTTATAATAATAATTTAAAAGATTTTAAAATAAATAAATACTACTATGTGTTAGAGAATTCAAAAGAACTACCAAATATATTATATCCCTCGTAAGAATCTCGTGAAGTATTTGAAATTTAGATGAAATTTAAAAACTACAAATTAAAAAAATAATTTAAAAGAAATAGATACTGAAAATTGCAAGAGTATGCATAATTAATTGCAGGATTTTAAAATCATAAATTAAAAAATAAAAATTATTAAGAATATATGCATAATTAATTTTAAAAAAATTAAATTTAAAATTGAACAGAGAAATTAATAATAAGTTATTCCTTGAATGAGAATACACTAAAAGATTAAGTCACTCTCAATCTAATTAAGTCCAAATTAATATAAAAAAAAAAAGAGCAAATGAGGTTTGAACTAAGAGAATAGAAAAAATTAAATTTTAAGTGGCATAACTACATCTTACAGCGAAGCACCCGAAGATTAATAAAAAAAGCGAAGGATATACTTATCACAAAAAAAAATTTACAACATTTACAACTAACATAAAATTTTCGTCAATCTAACAATATAATTTATTGAAAATTATTGGATCGCATTTATTAATTAATTATTAATTCTCAATAAATTATAATCGTTAGATTGACAAAAATCAACAATGATTAAATTGGTTATAAAGATGATAAATTTTTTTAGTTATAAGTATATCCTACCCCAAATAAAAAATAACAGTGCAGTGTTTTCCAGCAAGAAGAATTAAATGCGAAGCATAGTAAGCTGACAAAGAAACTGGATTTCTCATAGAGAAGGGACAGAAAACTCAGAGAAAATGAGGCAGCACTTATTCCGATATCATTAAAAATATATTTTTTATTTTTGCTTTACGGGAAAATATCCCCCACTTTTACGCTGAATTAAATCAGCACAACACAGGATATATTTTCAAACATCCTCCTGTCAAACGCCTACATGTTACAACAGTTGAATATACAAAACTAAAAACTTACAAGCATTTGTGGGTGGGTGATCTCAGATTCTAAGATTACAAATTTTGGTATTGCCATGATGATTGCTTGTAGCGATCCCACCCCCCATCAGGTTCCTTCCTCTTAAGAACACCACCACCCAACTGGAACATCCTTGCTTGCTCTTCAGCAGGGCCCTGAGAACTGGCAACAGAAAGCTGCCGTGGTACAAGAGGTGAACTATCATCTCTCCCCTCAAATTCTGAACTGCCAGGTCCAGCATTAAGATCTATATCCTGCCTTGCCCATTTCCTACTGTTCTCAGCACTACTACTACTGGGGTAATGGGATGAAATGGTACTGGCAGGCCCTATTAGCTGTGAATTTACTGCAGGGAAGCAAAACCTCCCTCCTGAAGTTGAATCTACGTAAGTAGTTGATGCACCAGAAAATGATGCTGCTGGAAGAGGAAAGCTAGAATTAAAAGGGAAGACGGGATATTGGAATGGTGCAGATGGATATGGCACTGCAGGAGATGATAAAACTGCCCCCCTGTAAACATCAGTTCCAAATACGTTGCCACCGGCTGCAGGACCCAACATCCTTTGCGGTCCATTAGGGGCACCAATTGAAAAGGACTTATCCCCTCTATCAGGCATAATTGAAGATATCGTTACAGCTGAATACGTGTTCCCAGTGGAAGGAAACCATGATGAGAAGTTCCCTAGTTCTGGATTACTCATCCTAAGTCCAGAAACAGGTGGTTGACATGGCACACTGCTCCTGGCAAGCTGAGCAGACATCGATGGTTCGGTGGTGACTTCATCAACAGCGGGTCCATTGTTCAGATCAAAATCCCTGCAGACACTCATCTCTCTATTTGGAGGACCACTGGCTGATGACTTCACCTGCAGGAGTGGCATATCCATTTTATGACTCCTGCTCATGGTGCAATTGCCCGCATCAGAAGCCTCATCCACTAGGTTCAAGTCAAGACCAAGTCCTCCAAAGCAAGGAACAGGTGAGGCCGTTGATTTATTGGGATCATGACCATTGGCTGCACGAGTTCCACAATCTGTCTGACAATCATAGTTTTGAGAAGAAACATGATCAAGTGTTCTTTCATCAGGCATATTCAAGTCAATATCCAACTGTGCCCAACTCTGCCTTCTACCTGCAGCATTAGGGATAGGGGTGGTAGGTATACCAAGAGGCTTTTCCATAACTTTCCTGGGCTCAGCTGGCCGGAATGCGCTAGTGGCGGCTGATCCCTTCCAACCAAGCTCCCCTTTACTTTTCAATAAATCTTCATGTGGCCCAAAGGGACCCTTTGCAGCAGCAGCCACTGTGATTGAGAGAATACCAACAGACATAGATGAAGCAGAAAATGGAACAGGACTGACCAACCTTACAGCAGGTGCACATCCAGGCATGTCAATGCTGTTGAAGTCACCACATTTCCCTTCATCTGTATTGAACCCTTCATTTAAATCAAATTCAACTTTTGCATCCACATCTGAGACATCAGCAGCAGACATAGAAGAAGCATCTCTAGTGGTAGAGGTGCATTCCTCTGCTTCAACGGCAACCAATTTTGAACCTTTAGGACCCAAACACTGATCCATTTCTAGTGAAGGAAAGCCAGGTGAAGCTGTGTACGGAGTTTGTCCAGCATCTTGATCAAAAACCTCTTTCATTCCTGAATTCACTTCCACGTACTCAGCAGCTAGACCAGTCACACCTGAACATAAACCTCTATTCTCAGGCACTTTAACAGCATCACTTTCTGACTCATTTCTTTGCTTTTTAGACGGACTAGCCTGATCCTGAGCAGCCATATCATTTTTTTCAGATCCCCTTTCATTTAGGTCTTCAGGAACCTTATCAACTCTATAACTAGATGCATGGAGTAAATTTACATCTGTTTCTTTTACTGAGTCAAACTGTGTAAGAATGGCAGGAGGCTTCTGAGTTGTCTCTACACTGCTTAATCCCTCAGTAATACAGTTATCACACTTGACATCAACTTCTTCAGGGGTCTGTGATGATTTTTCAATTGCTTCTGCCTTAATTTCTCCTGCAACATCACTGACCTTAACATCAAGATTTCCAACTGCATTCACTCCCAAAAGAACCTTCTTTTCCTTGAGCAACATGCTAGAGTCACTATCTCTAGCTTCCTGAATGGTGCTTTTGGGAAAGCCAGAAAAAGAAGTATCAGCTGGTTTCTCAGTTAATTTTCCTTTACTTTCAGAGCAAGTTTCAGTAACCTGCAAATCCATACTAGATGAATTAATATCTATATTATGTTCTCCTGCAGCTTTCCCTCCAGATGCCAGAAAACCAAAATCATTATCATCTTTGGTCCCTAAATCACCAGATAAGGAACTTTGCTTCTTATGCTCACCATCATTTGAGTAACACTCATCCTTAACAAGACATTCTTCAGAAGACTTGACCATGGCATCAGCTGTGCATGACTGTTCAACTGTAGTGATGTTTTTTTCAGGGGATTCAGCTGGCATTCCCAATTCAGATTTGGAAATCTCTCCAGCAGCCACACTAGCAAGAAGATTCATTCCAACATCGTCAGCTTCAGAGTATTTAACACCTTCAATTAGAGCATTTATGGAGCTGTAAGAAGCATCCTGCAAATTCCTGGCTTTACTTTCATTCCCAGATGAGGAGGAAGCAACCTTTGATACATCTAATATTTTCTTACAAACACCAACAGTCCTACAGTGTTCTTCATCAGTAATGGCCGCTGATGATGCATCACCCTCATCAGACCCAGTCAATATATCTTTGAAATCGTTACTCTGCCAGGATTCTGTTTTTATATCTGCACCAATATTAGCTCGATAAAAATCACTCTTTTCCTTTGAACAGCGATCAAACTTATCATGCTTCTCTGAAAGGACAGGAGATGAAGCTCGACTGGTCATGATTGAAAGGTCATCAAAACAACCTGCACTGGCACTTTTTGCTGGACTTCGACCTCGGTTTGGGATCTTTACAATCAGCTTGGGATTATGCCCCTCAAGAGAAGTTCCATCAAGTGCCTTTTCCATCAATCCAGATTGAGATATTTTCTCTGAAGTTAAATTTTTGTTCAAGGAAGAATTTCTGCTTGACCCAGTTTCCCTTTGCCCTCCAGATGGAGCCAACCCTGGAAATCCATTCATAGGTTTTCGGTGGCGTGTAGAGCCACCTGATACTTTATTCACACTCATTGCAGTAGAGCTTCTGCCATCCTCCTTACCTGAAAGACTCCCAGCTTTAGCATGGTCACTGGAATAAGATTGACTGTTATGCGATTGACTAGAACTACAGCTTTTCTCATCCCTTGCATTTGTCACAGGAAGATCAGAGGAGCCACTAACAGCTGCAACACGGGACTGTACTTCCTTTAAGTTCATAGTTGCAGAAACAGGTGAGGGAACTGACTGTACTTCCTTTAAGTTCATAGTTGCAGAAACAGGTGAGGGAACTGACTTCACAGACCTTGGAGATGCAGATGTTGACAAAGATCTAGTAGTATTCTCACCCTGGACAATCTTCAGAGAGGCCTTTTTGGATGCAGAAATCTGTGTAACTGAGCTCTTCAGGGCAACATCAGATGACCCACCTGAAAGTCTATTCCCACCATGAGGAACTTCAGGAAGGCATTGTCTGGCAGGCCAGGGGACAGTCTTAACTGAACCAGACTTTGCATCATTTATAATCATTTCAGCTTCAACACGTTTCTTCCATGTGTCAACTAAACCCCTTGCTTTCTTCTGAATTTCAGAGTTTTTATGACTTCGTAAATGATTCACAGATTTACCAATGTTACATGCTTGTAGAGCCTGAAGATTTACTGGAAGCTTATCGAGTGCCCGGAGTAATACCAATAGAAATTCATCAACAAATTTATCACGATCCCTAGACCCAATACCATCACCAATCTTCCCTTTATGAGCCTCTTGGAGCCATTCATCAAATACAGGTAAGCCCCTCAGCTGCACAAACCGATTAAGGCAGTCAAATTTATCTGTTGCTACAATAACAGCTGCAAGCATTGACCGGCTAGCTAAATCAATCTTTTTCTCATTTCTATCAGGAACCATCAGCTGCACCAACTTCTCAACCCCTTCAGTATCAACAAGCCGTCCCTTTTCCGTAACTTTGGCAATCTCTGTCTTTAAAATGCTATCCTGCCCAAACTGGCCAGAATCTCTGTCATCATGTTTTGTTGAACGTTCTCGCTTCACAGACTCTGGCCCATGATCTACCCTCTCCCTTTTCCTACCCTTAACTTGAGAAGGAAAGGAAGAAACACTGTTCAGCATGCTATCTGAACCAGATTTTAACTGTGATGTTGATGTTGGACTACTCGCTGGCTTAGGAGATTGACCGCCTGGCTGCACTGTTGCATGCATTTCTACACGAGTCCTGTATAATAGCTTATCTACTTCTTCTTGGCAATCCTGGGATATTATGGACAATATAAACGGTAAAAGTGTTAGGCATGATAAAAGGAACATTATAGATTGCAACATAAGTCAGAAACTTACATTAATATAATCTTGATCACTTAGCCAACATAAACACTTGTTCGCAATATCATAAACCCTCCTGCATACAAATGAGGAAATCCCTGATGGAAGCTCAACACCTTTAGGAAGAAATGAAACTTTACAAGGATGAAGCAGCAATGCAGCAGGTATCTCATCCTTATGAAAGGAGTAGAAAATTTCGTTTGGAGCAGTCTCCAACGGCACACCTTTGCCAAGTCTTACTTCAATGGGTCGATAAAGCCAATTTACACCTAACTTTAATTTTTTCTCTTTAACAACTGTCACACAACGAATTATTCCGATAAAAGGTGGGCAATCTTTAGGTGGTTTGAATAGAGCACAGTCACCAGCACTAATTTTGCGACCATCCTACGATTTGAAAAAGAAAGAAAATGTTCAGTGAACCATTAAAGATCAAGCAAAACAAAACCATTTGCAGTTTGCTTTTTGAGCAATATGTTTTAAGACCAGATTGCATACATCATCATTATAATTTATTTCATCACAGAAGACTTTAAGAGAAAGAAGATTAAAAGAAGGATAATTCCAAATCCTCCTAGGACAACAGTAAAAGATTAGAAAGGTAAGAAAGAAAATAACATTAGCTAAAAACAGTTCTCTAATCCTATGAAACAAGCCAAGAAAACAACTCTGTCCCAGAGAATATGGGAGGAGAAATATTACGTTAAAACAACTCAGGCAATCTCGTGCTACACACCCACAACTATCATTTTTATAACATTGCACCAAAATAGTAATCTCATGATATGAAAATAAGTTCTCTGCCATTTCTTATAATTAAATTTAGAAAGCTTCCAATTCCTTTTAGGATAGATTACTGTTATCAAAAACAGCATTTTCATTTAATCTTTTAACAACTATTATACAGTTTATCTCTCTAAAAGCATATTGTCCATCATAAGTACACATTCTTCTTATGACTCGGAATAATAGAAGTTTATCAAAGGAGTAAGAAATCCACAACTAAAAAAGAGAAATCAATATTTACATTATATAGAATTTTTAAGAAGGAAAAAAGCAAAAATTTGCAGATAAGTACCTTGCATTGACAAAACACGGATGCAAAGTACTTAATGTTTTTAAATAAAATGTTCACACAATTCACACTATGAAGCACCAAAAAATAAAATAGAGAAGAATAAAGAACCACGGGAAAGGAATCAAGTTTATAGTTCTATGCAGATTTTATTCTTAATCATCTATGCCTTCCATAAGTTATAACAGCTTATTTTAAAACAGATAGAGAACCAAGTATCCAAAACGGCAACCCCAAGTTAAAGTAAAAAAGCCTGGAAAACACATTTATTTAGCAATGGAATAGAAAGGCAGAAAGAGAAGGGGAAAAAAAAAAGGAAAAAAAAAAATGTGTGAAAAGCAATTTTGTTAGGAAGTGATCAGAATGATATTAAATTTCTTATATTAATCTTAACTCAATAAGCATTGAACTAGGTGATTTAATACTCCCAGAGAGAAAGACCTTTGAAAACTATAAATCCTACCTGCAAGATACAAAAAAAAAGTCTCCCTTCAATCACCGGCCTCTGATGAACAAATTCGTGGCATCCATTCCCTCATTCACATAAATCAGCTTAATTAATAAGCTCAATTATAGAAATTCGGTCATATGTAACTTAATTAATAAGCCCATTTTAATTGATAAGCTTTCTTAATAATCTTTCACATAATATTCCGATTGACCAAATAAATCAACATACAGACACACTGCACAAATACAGAGGTAACCAAAAACCTTCCGATACAATTACCCCAAAGCTGTTCCAGAAAAAAAAAAAAAAAAAAAAAAAACATAAAAGCATTGAGGGATACCTTATAGAAGGAATTAACTGACGATGACGACGAAGAAGAAGAAACATCAGCGCTTACAAAAGGGTGAACACGCGTGGTGGATTTCCACATGTGCCGAGTCCTATTTTTTCTCTCCTCACCTCGAAGCCCATGCATAGCCAGCGCCTTGCATGTTCGCCCTCGATCCCACCTTCATAACAAACAAATACCATCAATCCCACCTTAATTCCCCAACCGCGCACCGCAGCCAAACCCTAGATCCACCCAAAACCCTAACTCCAGCAACATCCTCGGCCCCTCAAAAAAAAAAAAATATTCAGAAACCCTAATAATGCTCGGGAGAACTCGAAATCGAACGCGAATCGAAATTTCTCAGCAGCGCGATAATCAGAAGCGAGTTCTTTAGCCGGATTACGAACTTGAAAGTTGAAAAAGGGAAGAGCGATGAATTTTAGAGAGAGAAACAGAAGAGAACAGAGAGATAAAGATGATAGACAGATAGATAGAGGGTGGTGGTGTACTTGGTACTTGGGTTGAGTAGGACGGGCAGTTAGGGCAGTTCGGGCAGGGAGAATGATAACATCCCCGGATGGTGAGGCGAATGAGAATGGAGATTGGTCTGTATGGTGTTGGGAATCACAGATGTAATATTGACTGGACCCTTTGACTTTAATTATCTCTGAACTGAATCACTCATTGCTCTCTCTCTGTCTGTCTCTGACACAGACCACTTGTGTTTTTCTTTGTTTTTTTCCCAAAAATATTATTGTAACTGTAAGGCTTTCTTTATTGATATTAATGTTATCCCAGTTCCTACTTTTGCCTGGACCTGGTCCTAAAATGGACAGGAGGTGAATGCTGATTGCTGATTGATTATATTATATATTTTAATATACATATTGCTGTCAATTGCAGAGGGTAAGAGTGTAATTTCAGTGTATTAAGATCACATGATAGCATATGATGGGAAGTTAAGGTTGTCCACCATTGTTCCAACACCTCATACTGCAAGTAATAAAGTGTGATGTGATATTTATTTATTTTTGTTTCAGGTAATCAATCAGATTGGAAATTTGATGATTGGGCTCCCATCTGCTGCTGCTAGAACTAATTGCTACAATCGGCACCGAGTTTGTTTCTCATTGGACAAGTCATTACCCCCAACGCTTTTTTGGTAAGATGAGAGTTTTAACGGTATGGTTGGAAGGGTTTTTCCTTAAAAAAAAAAATATTTTTCATTATAAATTCATTTGGATATTTATTTTTAAAAATAAAAGCAAAAGTCATAAAAAAAAAAGTTGAAATTCTTTTTTTTTGAAAGCTAAAAATTTTAACTTCTATAAAAAAAACAGTAATCAAATACCAAATATTTTTTTTTAAATCTAAATAGTTTTTTAAAAATCTAAATAACTTCAACTTTTATAAAACTACATCTAAAATAAGCAAGGCATAAAAGTTGCTTTTTAAAAAAGGCCAAACAAACAGACTCTAAATCCTAATGCATCAGGTGAATATTAAAAGTATTAAATATTAAATAAAAAATAAAATATTTAATATGAGAAAAATATTTTTACTGTCACTGGAGATAAAGTTATCTCTAATAAACTCAAAACGACGTCGTTCTGAGATTATAAGATTAAGAATTATAATGATAAAGACAAATATAACACTGCAATATATTAGAATTAAAAAATACCTTAATTTCTGTCCCAAAATGACGTCGTTTTAGGCTCACCAGAGATAATTTATCTTCATTAACTGAAGAAATTATTTACTCATTTAGTATACTAATAATTTTCTGGAAAACTTATTTAATACTTCATATTTTTTCTTAACAAGTGTGTTGAAAACATTTGTTAATAAAGTTATATTATTGTATTATAAAAGGCAATGTTGAAAAAATCGGACCGACCTGGCTAGGTCGATCTGAAAATCAGTAAACGAGTCATATGATCGGCCGATTTTCATGTCAGATCGGTCAAGTATGTGACCTGGTGCGACTCGGCCGATTTTTTGAGAAAATCAGTAATTCGACCCGGTTCACCAAAAAAATATCCAAAAAGAAAATATATAAAGGATGTCATTTTTTTTAATTCACAAATGATTTGTTTTCTTTTGAAATATTTGAGTGATTTGTTATTTATTGACTTAGATAGGTTAAGTACCTACAGCACTAATATATTTTTTTGGTAACTGATCATAATTACCTCTTTGAGGCGAATCAGAACCCCATGGTATCCCCACGGGGTCGACTCTTTGAGCCGCCTATGGGACTAATCTAGAGTTCGGGTGCGAGTCCAAGGATTACGGTACTTATGCACCTCCCCAGATGGACACTAATATTATTTTGGTTATGCATTATGTAACGAATTTTAATTTAATTTATAACTATAGATGTCGTCTATTGAATATGAAGCGTTAGTATCTCAAGTATTATATGTTTATTTGAGCCTTTGTTGGATAATAATATATGATTTATTATTTTCATATTAAAATATTTAAAATTTATATTATTTTTTCACAGGTATTTGAGTATGTTTAATTTTTTTAATATTAATTATAAATTTGCATATACTTACCGGGTCATACGATTGAACCAGTGTTTCACTAGTTGAACCAGTGACCTAGTGTCTCGACTGGGTCAATGACCAAACCGAGTTTAATAACATTGATAAAAAATGTCATTGCTTATTAAATATAATTAACCAAGAAACATGAACCAAACAAATTAGGGCCTGCTTGATAACTGTTTTGCAAAACAGTTTTTTGTTTTTAAAAACAAAAAAAGTAAAAAAACTTGTTTGAAAAGACTGATTTCACGCATCTTGTTTTTAAAACCGTTTCCATTTTTTGTTTTAGAAACAGAAAAAGCAAAACAACTCCGGGGTGTTTTCCAAGGTTGTTTTATGGTTTCTTGTTTTGTGCGGTGGCATTTTTGTAAATAAGGAAATTTATTAAGGGTTTTATTAATGTTATGTGACATAATATAAGTGGGTTTTCCAACACACACAATAATGGAGAGAGAAAGTGGAATGATGAAAGAGAAAGAAAAACATGTGGACCCCACCTATTTAATATGTGTGTAGGAAAGTGAAGTTATGTTATGTAAAATAATAAACATAAAACTCATTCATTAATGACATTTTCGTAATTAAATTGATTTTATTTTATTTTAAATTATTTTGCAGTGACAATTTTATAAATATGAGGATTTATTAATGGCATTTTTGTAAATAACTACATCCTCTTTATAACTTTAAAACTAACCATATTCAAATAAGTTTTATTATTTTTTTACTCTCAAAATCAGTTTTCAAACTTCATTTTCAAAACAGTTTTTAAAAACAAAAAAAACAAAAACACATTTAAACACACCCTTAGACTCTGTTTGACAACTATTTTTTTTTTAAAAAAATTGGTTTTTAGAACAAAAACACTTATTTGGTAAGGTTTGTTTTGTAAAAAAAAACTTTAAAAATCGTACATATTTTTTTTATTTTTAGAATAAAATTTAGTAAACATGTTTGAGTTATCTTAGTTTTTGGTTTTGGTTTTTAACTTTCAAAAAAAAAAAAACATAAAAAAACACTTATTTTCATAACTATTCTATAAAATATTTTAAGAATAAAAAAATCAAACATAATCAAATAGACCCTTGTTCCCTGGTTTTACACCCAAGGAAGGAAATCACAGTCCCATATCAATGTTATAAAAAAATGGACATATGATGATCCAATTAGAGTATTGGATCAATCGATTTCTGATCCAATCGATATATCACTGGTTGAACTGTATAATTTGAATTTATATGAAAATATATAGCAAATATAATACTAGTAATAAAGTATCTCAAATGGGTCATTGGCATAGTTTTTTTTTTTGAATTTCCCAAGGTATCCTCCAGCCGACAGTCGAAGACTAATTCTTTCGAGGCGGAAGATCACATTAAGTGGGTAAACTTCTCCTGATAAAGCTTTTTCCATACGCACGACCAGAAATCGAATCCCTGTTAGCATGCTTAAGAAATTCGACTATCTACCAACTGTGCTAAGCTTTGTTGGTCATTGGCATAGTTTTTTGTCTCCATGCAATGTAGTTTGGGTTCAGCTCCTAATGGGTGCATATTTTATAAAATGATTTTTTTAAAAAACCAAAAATGGTTCTGAGTTTTCATTAGTTAATCCTGAGTCGCAAGGTGGGTTACGGATTTTTCACAACATGGGTCCAGATTAGCTATTAACTCAATTGGAATATTGGGTGAACAAGTTATTCGGTTAATAAGTGACTCACCGATTAAATTGAATTTATATAATATATATTGAGGGAAAACATTTTCTCATGTCATAGGAGAGTTGTTCTTTCTTATTAGTGACCTTTCGATTTTCGTGTAATATTTTTTTTTATTTTTTAATTGATGTGGGTCCACATAAGATGTGTCTACAACATGAGAAAATTTTCTTTTAGCGCATGAGAAAATCGAAACCCGTATATTAAATTATGAACGTGTTAAGCCATCCAATTATCAAATCTCTTAACTAAAGTTTGAATCCAAGTAATGACAAAATGCATGTATTTTACACAATATGACATAAAACTGTTTAGAGGTCCAGTTTTCGAATCAACCTGTCAAACTAGCCGGTTTGATTGAATGATCCGATTTTTACAATAATAAACCAGATCTTTTATCGTATTCTCTTCTGCTTAAAATATTATGTGACCTTATTTTTTTGAAAACAATGGTTGCTTTGAAGTTCAAACCTATGATCTCATATAAATTATCTAAATTTCTCACCACTACACCAATGTCAGTGGCTTATTATGTGACCTTAATAATATTTAGTATTTCTTATGTTTTTTAAAAACTCTCAATTTTTTGGTATGTTTGAATTTTTGCTTGTTTTCGAAATTTAGTGATTTATATTTTTAAAATAATTTAAGTACTTGTTTTATATCTCTAATTAAGCATGGAATTGGAATTGAGTCTAGTAGTTTTAATTTTTATATTTGGAAGTATTTTTAAAATTATATTTAAAATTCTAACAAGTGTTACGTGTTAGTAGGTTTATTTTTTCTATATATATATATATATATATATATATATATATATATATATATCAATTGCCTCCAGAGTAAGACTTACAAGTCTTACTCATCATCTCAGCCTTTGATTTTTGTCCATTCAACAGTTATAGATTAGAAAGTTATATTAATTAATTAATTATTAATTACATTACAAATGACAATCGTTGATTTCCATTTATCAATGGTTAAGAAAAGGAGTAAGACTTAAAAATCTTATTCTAGAATCAAAAGAACTCTCTCTCATATATATATATATATATGGGTTTCTCTTTTCTCATTTCACATAAGATAATATCTCTCATGCTATAGACACAACAAGTGGTAGGTCCCACCACTTGTTAAAAAAATAAAAAATAAAAAGAAGATAGCAAGAATTTCGATACCTTACAACATAAGAAAT